AATTCGATAAAAGGAAGCTAAAATGAAACTGAAGGAAGCTTCTTCAATTTAAATGTTTCTTCATCAGAAGAAAAGATCTCTATAAGATTAAGAAAAGAGAAGTTAGGAGTAATATTTTTTATTTTTTATTTTATTTTATTTATTTTTTTTTTTTAAAGATTTTATTTATTTTATTTTTTTCCCCCCAAAGCCCCAGCAGATAGTTGTATGTCATAGCTGCACATCCTTCTAGCTGCTGTATGTGGGACCCGGCCCCAGGATGAATGGAGAAGTGGTGCCTCGATGCGCACCCGGGATCCGAACCCGGGCTACCAGCATTGCAGCGCGCGCACTTAACCACCAAGCCACAGGGCTGGCCCAGGAGTAATATTTTTTAAATGCTGGTTATGTAGTAAAGAAATATAAATTGCCAGTAAAATATGAATATTTTAGAACTAAATAATAATTGAAATGCAAATAAAATAGTATTTTTCATCTTTTTTAGATTGGCAAAATTGATAAAATACACTTCAGAATGTGGGCAAATGAATGTTCTTATGAGGGCAAGATCCTTTCTGGTGGAAGGCAATTTGGCAATACTGAAAATTTTCATCTCGTTCATTGACTGTTTGCGTTTCCTCTTCTGTGTCCTTTGTTAATTTTTCTTTTGGATGGTTTGCTGCCTTCTTATTGACTGCAGGTTTTCTATATTTATCTAGTTACTAATTCTTTGTTTTAATGTGTTTCAAGTATTTTTTTCACAGTCTTTGCCTTTTATCATTCTTTATAGTATCTTTTCTCATATAAATAAATTTTACATTAATATAGTCAAGAAAATTTTGATCTATGTGTATCCTTGGATGTACAATTTGATGTCTAGAAATTTTTTCACAAAGAGATAAATAAGCATAAAAAGATATATATCTGCCACTGAAAATGTCCATCAGTATGGAATTAAATTGTGGTATGTCCATCCATTCAATAGGATACTATACAGCTATTAAAAATGGTGATGTATTGTAGATTTATGTTTCTCACAAAGGAAATAGGTCCTCGACGTGCCCTTTTTCTTTCTCAACAGTAAGTAATAGCATGCCTAATAGTGCCTCATTCATGTAAAATTGTACATGTCTGTAAGTGTAGACAGATTTTTGGAAATAAGTACTCATTAAAATGGTTTTCTCTGCGTGGTGGCCTATTGGGATTTTTTTTTGTACTGTTAGGTTTCTTTATACTGAGTATTGTATATATTCTTGAAAAAGGAAAGGTTTTTTTTTCCCTTTCTGAACAAACGACTATATTCAGTTTCTCTCTTCTGCTTGTTAAATGATTTTGTGGATAACAGGAAATAGAGTCTTTAAACCAGTACCTGATCAAGTTCTACAAATACCTAAATCTGACAAGATCTGTCAGACCTTTGTAACGTAATACCTAGGGGCCATGGTTTGGGATGGTCTACTGCTGCCGCTGAAGTTACCCAGGAGCCAGTTGAACTGGTGCAGATAGTTGGGGGGAGTTCTGAACTCTCAGAGCCCAAGGCATTGACTGAAATTTTTAATGCCATACCCTGTAGTTAACTTCTTTAAAGACTTGATTTTTAAAGAACAAAGTCAAGTTTGAACGTTTGTTTTGATGTTTTGATTTACTTTGGTTTTTTCTTTTAGCTTTATTGAGGTATAATAGACTAATAAAATTGTAAGATAGTTAAAGGGTACATCGTGATGATTTGATAGATGTATATATTGTGAAAAGATTCCTCCCATCTAGTTAATTAACGTATCCATCGCCTCACATTTATTTATTTTTTAATTTTTCTGGTGAGAACATTTTAAGTTCTACTCTCTTAGCAAATTTCAATTGTACAATACAGTGTTATCAACTGTAGTCAAGATGTTATACATTAAATCCTCAGACCTTATTTATTCATCTTTTGCTGAAGCTTTGTACCCTTTATCAACCTCTCCCTATTTCCCCCATCCACCTGGCAACCACTTTTCTGTTCTCTGTTTCTATGAGTTTGACTTTTTTTTTTTTAGATTCCACATATATGTGATACCGTGCAGTGTTTGTCTTTGTTGATTTACTTTGGATTAACCAAAGAATGTCTGAATTGATTGCGCACCTGCCCTTGTTGATAGAATACAGTAACGTTAGACGTCATTCTCTTCTCTGCACATATGTCAAGTACTGTCTTAAGCATTGGGGTTCAGAGAAGAAGAATTCCTGCCCTCCAAAATCTCACTCTCGAGTGGAGCACTGGCACAGTCAGGAACCATTTCAGTGAACCATGCTATGGCAGCACACAAGAGGGCTTTTGACCTAGACGTTGATGTGTTATTTGGGCTTGGTGGCTGTTCAAGGAAGATTTTCCAGAGGAAACATTTGAACTGAATTTTGAATTTCAGTTCAGACGTCTGAACTGAAGCTTGAAAGGTTAAACATGAATTAGCCCAACCGGAGAAAGGATATGAAGGTAATCTAGGCAGAGAGAAAGGCCTGGAGGCGTGCAAGGGCATGGCACATGTTGGGAAGTGCAGGTCGTTCAGCATGGTAGGAATTGAGGCCGTGCAGGCAGGAAAGTGAGGCTGGAGAGGCCAGATCATGAAGGGTCTTGTCAGCTGTCAAGAGACTGTTCCTCTGAACTCCCTTATAAATACAGCCTTTGTTCATGTAGGCTGGGAATCTTTGAGTCATCTTTGACTCTTAAGGCTCCCTCCCCTCCCTTAACCTCCCTCATAATTGGGCACCAAATCCTGTCAATTTTGGAAACTTGGATTGAAATGGAATAATGACAAGCTAGATACAGACTGTGTGTTCTTTACCACAGACTGTAACTTAGGCTTTTTAATTTCTAGGGCTTAGCGCTGGCTCACAGACTCTTAGTAAATGTTTAAATGGATGGCTTATAGGAAGGGAGTTCAAAAGAGAAAATATTTAGTGTTTTTCCGTGGGACCATATATAACTTTTCTAGTTTCCTTTCATTATAGAAAATGTAATAGTCTTAGGAGGCCTAGTTGAAAAGTCAGCTCTTGGATAATTAAAAACCTTGAAAATGGAATCAGATCCGTTAGTAGGGTGTGTTTGATTAGTGCTCTGGTGGGTGACTAAAGCAGGGTCATAGTGGGGGAAGAAAAGTGCCAGACAGCTTTTAGCAATTTGATTTTAATGAATATACACCAGTTTACATAGTGTCTGTGCCTTTTTTTTTCCCTAGCTAAGAACAGTCTTCTTGTGACTATCCTAATAGAAATTAATTTTTTAGAGGAAAAATCATGAACACATGTATGTATTGCTTTTCACTTGTCACAGTTGATAACGTGGGCACATGCTTTCTTGAACTTATGGATATGTACTGCGTTTATTTTCTATTTACTATAACAGAACACTGTATGCAGAGATGACTAGCATTTGTAAGAAGTAGGCATTGTTTTAGTGAAATGTGCCGTTTTGAAAGCAAATTATATATCTGTGAAGCAGCTTTTATGATCATTATCAACACAGCTGCTGTAACTGTTAACTTAGTGAAATTGAATCTTTTGTTATTTGGGTCACATAACCAGCAACTGAACTTTTATACTTATAACGATGCAAGACCTTTATTAAGACATAACGTGGGGCTGGCCCCGTGGCGTAGCGGTTAAGTGCGTGCGCTCCACTGCTGGCAGCCCCGATTTGGAGCCTGGGTGCACACCGTAGCACCGCTTGTCAGGCCATGCTGTGGTGGTGTCCCATATAAAGTAGAGGAAGATGGGCACAGATGTTAGCACAGGGCCAGTCTTCCTCAGCAAAAAGAGGAGGATTGGCAGGGATGTTAGCTCAGGGCTGATCTTCCTCACAAAAAAATAAAAAATAAAACTTATAAAAAAAAAAAAAAGGCATAACGTAATGCAAATAGAAGAGAGATGTCTTCAAATGTTTTCATATATAGCCTTAAGAAGAACAAGGTATTTATTATATAGAAGTAGAATGATAGCGTTGTAATATAATCCTACTTATACATATATTTATATTTAATATTTTTAGTCTCTTAATTTTTTTTATTTTTAAAGCATAAATTAGCTAAGCCTAGTCCTTTCCCCCATCAAAAAAAAGGGAGGTATGAGGGTATTTCTTCTACATCACCTTTAACTTCCCATTACCTCAAGTTTTTTTAGTTTTTGTTTTTGGCTTACATCTAAATATATATTCTGTAATTTGAAGTGGAAAAGATTTTTGTGTATGTGGCCTCAATTATAGCTCCTATAGCCTGGTTAATATGGTTTCTTAGAGTCTATTTATTGTAACAAAATCTCACTAAGATCTGTTTTATAGAGCTGATTAAAATGAAATTTTACCTGTAAGTTTGTCTTAGCTGCCTTATATCCTTTTGAGTATAGATGGTATAGTGATAAATGAGTATTTTACATATAGTACCTATTTAATTGTAAAGATCAACATTTTTTAAATGGGTATATATACATTTGTCTTATTTTCAATTTTTTTGTAGAGATAATTGCAGTTGTAAGAAATAATGCAGAGAGATCTTTTGTACACTTTGCCCAGTTTCCCTCAGTGATAACATTTTGTAGAATTGTAGTACAATATTACAGCCAGGTTATTGATGTTGTGCAGTCCACTGCTCTGATTCAGGTTTCTTCAGTTTTGCTTGTACTCGTGTGTGTGTGTTGAATTCTGAACTGTTTAATCTCCTTTGTACGTTTGTATACCCACCACTGAGGCAGGATGCGGGATAGTTTCTTATCACAAGGGTCCCTCATGTTGCCCTTTTATGACGCCTGCTTCCCTCCCGCCACTTGGTTTTCTCTCCCCCATCTCTAACCCCTGGCAAACACTAATCTTTCCTCCATTTCTAAAATTTTGTCATTTCAAAAATGTTATATAAATGAAATCATCAGTATGTAACCATTTGAGATTGACTGTTTTCACTCAGAGTAATTCCCTGGAGATTCATCCAAGTTTGTGTGAATCAATAGCTTATTCCTTTTTATGTTGGAGAACTTCTGTGTAGTTTAAAACTTAGTTTCTACTTCGTTTCCTTTCGAATCTATTTTTAAAATAAATATATTTGTCTCAAATCTAGGTGACAAGACACGACCACCTTCCTCAAGCCCCTCTAGTATCATCCGCCGCACTTCCTCTCTGGATACCCTTGCTGCTCCGTACCTCGCAGGGCACTGGCCTCGTGACAGTCATGGGCAAGCTGCTCCTTGCATGAGGGACAAGGCCACACAGGTAGGTTTATTTACAGTTCTTGTCCTGAGGTGTTTTACTCTGAAACCATTTCTCATAACATTATTTGTTCTATTCCGTGCTCAACTTCTTAGAACATTAGTGTGTGTTAGAATTACCTGAGAAGCTTATCAGAAGTGCAGATTCCCCAGCCTGACCTCCAGATATTCTGTAGTAGGTTTTGGTTGAAGCTTGGGAATGTGCATTTTAAACAGTTTCCAAAGTGCTTCCAATACATACAGATAATTTATGGACCTGCTTTTCTCCCACTTACTCTTTGTAGTTAGTTTAGAACATCACAGTATATTTAATAAATGGAATTTGGACTTAAGAATTTGTAACAGTAAAGATTACTTTACTTTCCATCTAACCTTATATTTTTGTGCCAAAAATCATGTGTTGGGAGATGGGGATTCTGTTACGTTATTGATAGATTCTGTAAGCATAAATATCCTGACAGAGGGACTCTGGAAGCAGAGTTTTATACTTTTATATTTTTTTAATTAGAAGGATCTTAAAAGACCATTTAGATCTACTTCCTGGTTTTACAAATGAGGAAGCTGAGGCCCAAGATCGTAAAGCCAGTTGATGACTGCATCTTGGTTTGGTGTAGTTTCCTTCATAGCACTTAGTACAATTATAATTAATTATTTGTCTAATCATTTATTTAATGTTTCTCATACTCACTAGATGGTGAGCCCATGAAGTCAGGAACTGTGTCTGGCTTGTCCATTTCTGTATTTTCATCTTCAGGACTTAGTACTGTACCGACAGAATAAACACTCAAGGAATATTTGCAAAGGAATGAATGAGCAGAACAGTTAAAGCTTTAGTGCTAGTGAAGAATGAAAATCATTTAAAGAGTTGAAAGATTCTTTATACTGATTGTTGAAAATCAGCTAAGGTACATCTTGATTTAGACTTCAGATTTACATCACTGTTGATTGCTTGATCCCTGCACTTTATGAGAGAATGTGCTTTTACAGAACCAAGTAAACACATTTTGCAGTGGTTTTTGCATTTGCACACTGGTTTCCAAAATTCCAGGTGTTCTCGGTGGGCCTAATTGTGTTCTCTGTTCTAATACTCTTGAAACTGAACCCCATTGTTAGGGTAGATGCTTGGGGTTTGAGATTACCTGGAGGTTCATAATCCAATGACAACTACAGAAACGAAAGTGCAGAGTCTGTACTCATCAAAAGTAATGAATCTTTTCAGAAATTGTGACTTTTTAAACCAAAGAGTTCTGCAGAACTCTGCATTTATTCAGAATCTGTATCTTTGCTGAGGATAGGGCATGTAGTATGGAAAATGAGTACAGTCTCTACTTGCTTTCTGGTTAATCCACATGTCATATTTAAGTTTGAATGGGTGTATTTCCTTGAACATTTCTACAACACACTTTATTTCCTCTATACTTTCAGGTTCAGTGGGTTCAGATATTTTTTTTTTTCTTATCAGTAAGAATACAAGCCTTGAGAGCTCCTTGATCTGTGGAAGCAGTTCATAAGTCTTTTCAGCAAGGTGCTGTGACCTGGCTCTGACTACATTGAATTAAAGTATAAACCCCATACTCTCTTCACCTTCTTCTAAATGTCCTCCAGATTGGGAATGTTAAGGTTACAAATGTAAAGAAAATGTATAATTATCATACTGTTAATCTTGCTTGTAAAGCTCACATGTAGAATCTCCTAGGGCATAATGGCAGTGATAGCCTGGGACACTCTAGTCTTTCATTTATGTTTTGGCCCCCACCTTTGGCAAGTGAATTTAGCACTAACGTGATTATTGGCAGATATTGGATTCCCTAATGTATGTATGCTAGTTAATTAAGTCAACTTTTTAAAATTTGGTAGAATATATGTAATATAAAATTTGCCATTTTGACCATTTTTAAGTATACAATTTAGTGGCATTAACTGCATTCACAATGTTGTGCAACTATTGCCACTATCTATTTTCAAAACTTTTTCATCACCCCAACAGAAGTTCTGTAACTCCTCATCCTTTTTCCAGCCCCTGGTAACCACTATTCAACTTTCTATTTCTATGAATTTGCCTATTCTAGTTATTTTATGTAAGGGGAATCATACAATATTTGTTTTTCTATAGCTGGCTTGTTTTGCCTTTGCATAATGTTTTCAAGGTTCATCCATGTTGTAGCATGTATCAGAACTTCATTTCTTTTCATGGCTGAATAATATTTCATTATAAGGATATGCCACACATGTTGTTTATCCATTTATTTATTTATGGACATTTGGTTTGTTTACAAATTTTGGCTGTTGTGAACAGTGCTGAAGTGAACATTGGTGTCTGAATCCCTGCTTTCAATTCCATTTGGTACATACCTAGGAGTGAAATTCCCGGATCATATGTTTAGCTTTTAGAGGAACTGCCAAACTGTTTTCCATGGTAGCTGCATCATTTTACCTTCCCACCAGCAATGTAGAAGAGCTCCAGTTTTTCCATATTCTTGCCACCAGCTGTTATTTTCCTTTTTTTCATTATAGCCATCCTAGTAGGTATGAAATGGTATCTCGTGGTTTTGATTTGTATTTCCCTAATGACTAATGATGTTGAGCATCTTTTCATGTGTTTTATTGGCCATTCGTATATCTTCTTGCAGTTCAGTGTATCTTCTTTTGCCCATTTTTTAATTGGGTTGTTAGTTTTTTGGTCACTGAGATGTATGAGTTCTTTATATGTTTTGAATATTAACCCCTTATCAGATATATGGTTTGCAGATATCTTCTCCCAATTGTTAGATTGTCTTTTCGTTTTGTTGGTGGTTTCCTTTGCTGTGCAGAAGCTTTTTAGTTTGATGTAGTCCCATTTGTTTATTTTTTCTATTGTTTTCCTTGCCTGGTCAGACGTGGTACTTGAAAATATGTTGCTAAGACCGATGTCAAAGAGCGTACTGCCTATGTTTTCTTCTAGAATTTTCATGGTTTCAGGTGTTACATTCAAGTGTATAATCGATTTTGAGTTAATTTTTGTGTCTGGCGAAAGATAATGGTCCACTTTCATTCTTTTGCATGTGGCTGTCCAGTTTTCCCAACAGCATTTATTGAAGAGACTTTCCTTTCTCCATTGTATGTTCTTGGCTCCTTTGTTGAAGATTAGCTGTCCACGGATGTGTGGGTTTATTTCTGGGCTCTCGATTCTGTTTCATTGATCTTTGTGTCTGTTTTTGTGCCAGTCCCATGCTGTTTTGTAGTATATTTTGAAATCAGGGAGTGTGATATCTCCAGCTTTGTTCTTTTTTCTCAGGATTCCTTTGGCTATTCGGGGTCTTTAGTTGTTTCATATAAATTTTAGGATTCTTTATTCTTTTTGTGTGAATTTGATTAAGATTTTACTGTACATGATTATTTATCATTCTAATTAAACAAAGTTAGCAAAAATGTGGCATCATTCTGTTTTTCTGTATCTTTGGCAGACATCATTCATTCCCTGTGAGCTCAAATAGCCCGAGAATCCTTCTGGCACAGTGCTGTAGCATGCCGTTTCCAGTGGAGCAGGCGTGGTCCAGGAGAGGAACTGTCTACGAAACTGATTTGCCATTTCTGCTTTAGAGTTTGGTACAGAGCTTAATACTACACTGTCACGAACCTCTCTTCCCCCTCCTCCCACATTCCTTTAAAGATTCTTTTAGAAACTGACCATTTACCAGTTTGCCCTCCAAAAAGGTGACACTAATTTGTATTCCCAGCATTATCTAACTAGGTTGCAGTTTCATTAATTTAATTTGATCTATCTAATTTCCAGGGGGTGCCTTTTGTATTTTCTGACTATATCATTTTAGGGAGAGGGAATATAATGTGTATGTGTGGTTGGATTATTTGGCATTCTTTTGACTCAAAAGATATTCTCTTCCCAGCTTCCTGACCTCTTAGAGGTGGCTTGTTAGGGTATGTGAATTTGTGACTCATGTAATTGGTGTCTGGTTTTCTTTCTTATTTATTTTGTTCATTTATTGCATAAAGCAGTCATATTTTGCTTTTAAAAATCTTACGTTATTATTTTTTCTTGTAAGTCCTACATTTCAGAGCCTATTTTTTCTTCTTCAGAGGTTGATTTTGATTAATAGCTTATTAAATTGTTTTATTTTTCCAGTTGATGCATTGGCTTGAAATTAAGATCCAAGTTCAGAAACTTTGTAAAATGGCCTGTGATTAAAACCTAATGAAATGAAGTATTTGGTAAATTAGAGACTAAAATAATGTTGAATTACTGAAGGTGGATGTTTATAAGTCTACAAACTTGTTTAGAGATTGTTTCCTTTTTTGGAAGAATGTTCTGGAATTTATAACAAAAAAAGAAATCACTCTTTTATATGTTTGATAGATATAAGCAACACTAAAAAATTTATATCTTACTGTTGTGAAATGAAAATACTGAGAAGGTGGATTAGCTTTTTTAAAAAAATCCTTTTTGGGGCCAGCCCCGTGGCGTAGGGATTAAGTTCGGCACACTCCGCTTTGGTGGCCCGGGTTCACAGGTTTGGATCTTGGGCGTGGACCCACCTCTGCAGCCATGCTGTGGCGGCAACCCACATACAGAATAGAGGAAGATTGGCACAGATGTTAGATCAGGGTGAATCTTCCTCAGCAAAAAAATAATAATAATTACTTTTTGAGTAAAACCTTGGTCTACTGGTTAAAATTGGAGTGTAATGTTAAGAAGAAAGGAGAGTGTTAAAATTTTTATTTCAGACCTAAATCTAATAACCTCAATGTAAGCCCTGTAGTTGCCTCTCAATAGCTTTGCCTTACCTGGGTAAGCCTAGGATTCTGAAATCATCTGCGTTTCCAGATGCTTTACCACTTGACTGGTGTTCCTGTCCTTTCCTGTTTTCACATTAGATCGGATTTCTCTATGTCAGTGGCTCTATACATACTGTTTTTAAACAGGCTAGTGGCAGCGTAACAAATGGAGAACTAGTTACATCATGGAATCCTTTAAAACAAATAGTTTCTTGATTGTGTAACTGATTTTTTTTATTTGTTAAAAAACATTTTGGGGGACTGGCTGGGTTGCATAGTGGTTAAGTTCAGGAGCTCCGCCTTGGTGGCCTGGGGTTTGCAGGTTCGGATTCCAGGTGTGAACCTATGCACAGCTCATCAAGCCATGCTGTGGCAGCATCCCATATACAAAATAGAGGAAGATGGGCACAGATGTTAGCTCAGGGCCAATCTTCCTCAGCAAAAAAAAAAAAATAATAATAATTTTGAATGTAGACCCCAACTCTCCATAATGAACCTGCAGTACCCTGTGTACTCCACTCACTCATGCTTCCCAGCTTCTCTATTTTGTTTGGAGTGCTTTCCCATCATTTGCCTGGATAACTTATGCTCTAATGGTCATAGCAGTCTCCCCCCATCCCCATTCCGTAATCTTGCCTATCTGCTTCCCCTGTCCTTCCAGTTCTGGGTTAGGTGCTTTTCTTAGGGGACCTCTGTCATCACATGATATCATAATTGGCTTTTTATGTCTTCTTTCCTAGAAAAGGCTCTTTGAGAATAAGAACTGTGTTTCCTCTCTAACCCAGTACCTGGTCCAGTGCCTCACGCGTTAGTAGATACTTAATAGCTTTCTGGTATACGGTGCAAGACTGAACAAAATTGAAACAGTTAAAACTCGATTTTACTTTTTACTAATACCTGAGAGTGTCTTATAATAAAGACACAGCTTACTTGAACAAAGAAAGCAATTATCTTTTGAATTAGGAGTTTAAGTAAACTTAATGACTTTTGCCAAGTATTTTTTCCTGCCTGAACATCTTATCACTGAAATTAGCAAAGCAATCTGTTGCTCTTTATGCTTATTTTTGTTTGTCTTGCTAATCAATACTCTTGTTCTTCTTATAGTTAATTTGTTCTTAAATCTATAGGAAACTTTTATATTCCTTTGCTTTTCCTTGAATTAATTTTTATACTTAATATATTTAGTAGTTTTCCTAATTTTTAAAAACTTTTTATTTTGAAAGAAGTCTCAAGTTTATAGAAAAGTCATGAGAATTGTGACTTTTTAGTGAACACCAATATACTCTTCACCTATATTCACCAATAAACATTTTTCCATATTTTGCTTTATTTCTTTGTGTACACATAATTGTTATTATTACTGTTGGTATTATTTGCAGACATTCTTCAGCATATATACGAACAAGGATTTTAAAAAGTATTGCCAGTATAATTACCAAATCCAGGAGATTTAGCTTTGATACAATACTATTATTTAATATGTGGTACACATACAAATTTTTTCAGTTTCCCTAATAATATTCTCTGTAGCAGTTGCTCCTGTAAGCCAGGATCCAGTTAAGGAGCACACATGGCATTTATTTATTTATTTTTTTGTGAGGAGTACTAGCCTTGAGCTAACATCCAATGCCAGTCCTCTCCTTTTTTTCTTGAGGAAGATTGGCCCAGAGCTAACATCCGTGCCCATCTTCCTCTACTTTATATGGGACGGCACCACAGCATGGCTTAACAGGCGGTGCATCAGTGCGTGCCCGGATCCGAACCTGTGAACCCCGGCCCGCCGCAGCGCAGCACGCGCACTTAACCGCTTGTGCCACCGGGCTGGCCCCCACACGTGGCATTTAGATGTCATGTTTCTTTAGTATCCTTTAATCTAGAACAGTTCCTCAGCTTTTCTTTGTCTTTCATGACACTGACATTTTTTAAGAGTGCAAGCCAGTATTTTTTATTGAACCTTCTCAACTTGGGTTTATCTGTTTTTTTCATGATTAGATTCAAGTTATTCCATTCTTGGTGGGAATATTCTCCCTTTGCATGTGTATCAAGAGGTGTGTGACATCAATGATAAGTTCCATCCACCAGATTCCCTTCATAGCTAATGAGCAATCTGGGGGGAAATATTTGAGACTGTAAATATCCTGCTCCCTGACAAACTTTCACCCCTTGGTTTTAGCGTTCATTGATGATTCTTGCTTAAGTGAGTAATTACTGTAGTAGTTCCAAATGATGATTTTCTAACTCTGTTGTCATTCTTTCTGCATTTATTTGTTGGTCTAATACTTTTTGACAGAACTATTTCTTCATGGAATTGTCCTAAATGAATTTCATAAAATTTCAATTGATATGACTTAAGATTCTCTTTTTTCCCCCCTCTAACTTTTTACTAAGAAAATGTTCAACATACAAAAAAATGGAAAGAATGCTAAGCTGTCATTAGATTCAACAGTTTAAACATTAGACATATTTGCTTTACCAGTCTTTGTATGTGTGTATGTGTTTGCCGCACTTTCTGAAAGTATGTTGCAGATACCATGACATTTTATCCCTAAATTCTTCAGCATATATATTCTAAGAATAAGGATATTTCCTGTATGGCCACAGTAGCATTAGCTTACCTAGGAAAATCACTAATTCCTTAATATCACGTGACATCCAGTCTATGTTAAAATTTCCCTAAGATTTCTTTTTTTTTTTGAACCAAGATCCAATATGAGATTCATGCATTGTCCTTGGTTTCTTCTTAGTCCCTTTTAATTTAGAAGAGCTCATTCTCATCCTTTTTTTTTTTTTTGGTGTTAATAACATTGTTATTTTATGAATTATCCTACATATTTGTAAAGGAGATACTTCTTTCTTTTGCAATTAGCAAGTAATCTGTGGAGTACTTTTTTGCACCACGTGAATATTATGTTCCCTAGTAACTTTTCCTAGTAACTTAACCTAGTAACGGTTTTAGTATCCATCGGTGACCCTCTCCTAAATCAGTTTTTACCTTGGAAGTTGCAAAAAAAAGATTTTTTTTCGTTAAATATGAGATAGCACATTCTATACGTTCTTCTGCAACCTTGTTTTTCACATAAGGACATCACTCTGTCCACATAGAAAGATTCCCTCTTACCTTAAAAGGTTTTTTCCCCCCTTATGTATAGAGAAGTATTGTTTTCACTAGGCTGTGCATTCATTCATACAGTGCAGAATTCAAGAGGTACAGTTTCTTTTGTTACCATTTGTGTTCTTCCATAGATACTTTACATATGTGTAGATTCTTTCTTGCAGACCTATCTAAAGGTAGTTGCCATATAACTGTAGTGAGTCTTGAGTTTTTCACTTAACAATTTCTCATGGAGATTATTTTGTATCAGTACATCGTGAATTTCCTTATTCATATTTTATAGCTGCATAGTATTCTCTTGTAAAGATATATCATAATTTATTTAGCCAATCCTCTGTTTACATTGTTCTAATCTTTTAGTTGTAAAAACAGTGCTACAGGGAATAATATGATATGTCATTTTGTGCATAAAGGTATACATTGTGTACATCTGTAGCATAAATTACCAAAAGAGAGGGTGCTGTGTCAAACAGTATGTCCATTTGTAACTTGGACAGCATTGCTGAATCCTTCCGTAAAGGCTGTACTAATCTACACTCCCACTAGCAATGGAGGAGGGTGAATGTTACTAGATGGCCCAGTCTCAGTGAAGTTTTAACTTGCATTTGTCTTATTACGGTTGAGTTTGTGCAAATTTTCTTGTGCCAAGAACTCATTTGTATTTTTTTCTGATACAGTGTTTTGAAATTCTGGATTTTGTATAACCACTAAGGATTTAACATTTTTGAGGCTGTGTTTTGCAGATACCAAGCAAGACAAGACGTGGTATAGAGGTTGATTGTGATCACACTCTGGAGTCTTGGGTTTATAGCTTGGCTTTGCTACTTTCTAGCTGTGAGACCCTAGGCATCTTATCTAACCTCTCATTGTCACAGCTTCCTTATCTGCAAAATTTGTAGAACTTTTTGTGTGTATTAAATCAGATAATATAGTGAAGATCCTTGACTGTGCTTTCAGAAAGCACAGTGCCTAGCATGTAATAAGATCATAGGAGTGTTTGCTATTATTAGTATGCATTTGTTCAATAAAGGCTATACTAGTAATTATGTAAAAATAATAACTAATTTTTTATTAGTAATAGAAATGAAAGAAATAGGCTAAAATATTATAGTAATTAAGTAACTGGTGCTGGGGGAGTTGTGGGTAATTAGTGTTGTTTTAAAAATTTTCTAGTATCTAATTTTTCTGTAATGGGAATGTATTTTATAATAGAAAAATATGGTATATGTAATTTTTTTTAGAAAGGAAATTTTTTTCAAGTTTTTTGAGATATAATTGATGTATAGCACTATATAAGTTTAAGGTGTGCAGCATAATGACTTGACATACGTATATTGCAAAATGATTACCACAGTAAGTTTAACATCCATCACCTCGTATAGTTACAAAAATTTTTTTTTCCTTGTGATGAGAACTTTTAGGATCTACTCTCTTAGCAACTTTTCTATATACATTACAGCAGTATGAACTATAGTCATTCGTGTTGTACATTATATCCCCAGTACTTATTTATCTTATAACTGGAAGTTTGTACCTTTTGATCACCTTCATCCAATCCCCCCTCCTCTAACCCCGGTGCTCTGGTAACCACAGATCTGATCTCTGCTTCTGTGAGTTTGGTTATTTTTGTTTTTCAGATTCCCCGTGTGGGATCATGCAGTGTTTGTCTTTGTCTGACTTATTTCATTTAGCACAGTGCCCTCAAGATCCATCCATGTTGTCACAAATGTAGTATGCATTATTGTTAAATGATTATTTTATCTCTTTTTCCAATTAAAGACAGAGAGTGCATGGGCTGAAGAATACTCTGAAAAGAAGAAAGGGTCTCACAAGCGATCAGCATCCTGGGGCAGTACAGATCAACTTAAAGAGGTCAGGAAAATGGTTCCAAGGAAGTGGGTGTGGAAATTACATCCCTTCGTTGGCTAGTTCCTTAAAGTTGTGGGCAGCAAGGATTTATCAGTTTCTGTTTTTTGTTTTTTTGGTGGTGGTTTTGTTTACTTGAGAAATAACAGAAAAAGTTATTATGTTGGTTGGATAAAGATTTCAGTGGGGAAATGTACACATTACTTAACCTGATTATGTGTTTTTCTTTGCCTTGTTTTTAGTGAGAGTCCTTACTTGTTAATGTAATAAAACATTAGATGTATAAAATTGTAGTGATACAACAAATTCACGTTTATTATTTCTATATATAATGGTAGTATTTCTGAAATTCAGTAACCTAGTATAACCAAGTTGATTATGGCCCTATGCTCTGATTACCATTTTCTGTGCCTATAATTAGGATATTTGCATTTTATACATAAAGTAGAAATAAAACAGAAAAATTCAGTCAAGGAATGATATGAGATATTGATTGTAATTGTATTTGTTATTTAAAGATTGTATCTGTGAATGTATTTCATGGCTTGAATTGATTTTTAAATTCTGTTTAAGTTTTGGAGCTGTTAAAGGTTAGGTGTTTGATAAAGAAGTCTGAGTCTAAAATTTGACTCATTGTAAGGGCAATGAGAGAATAATTGTCATTATTTTTTAATTCTTTGTGAAAGCTATAATGTAATTTATTCTAAATACGAAAACTTCATTTGTTTAGTGCTTGGGAAGCTTGAAGGCTAAGAACGGTGTTGGAAAACAATTTTGTTTCTCTTTAAAAGAAAGATACACATATATGCACACACGTGTGTGTATGTATATAAATTTCATACAATAAATCAAATTTTGTGATATGGTTTAAAAACTCAAAAGAGTTAAGGCTGAATTCGGCTGGTTCTTATTAAGCAAGGATATGTTTTATTTAGTGTGGGAAACACTCTGACGCACTTATTTTTCCCTGTTTCAGATTGCAAAATTACGCCAGCAATTGCAGAGAAGTAAACACAGCAGTCGGCATCATCGAGATAAAGAAAGACAGTCTCCATTCCATGGCAACCATGCAGCTATTAACCAGTGTCAGGTAGGAGCGCAGATACCACAAAATCCAGACAAGGGATTTGTTGCTTTTCTGATGATTTATTTCATAGGTAACTGTTTAGGATAAAAATGTCCAAAAGCATATTTGAAATAGTGATTGAATACTGAATCATAGCCTTCATAAAAAAACCAGAAGGTTAGTTTGACAAAATATTTTCCTTTAGTGACCTGTGATATGACCTCTGGGAGACATAGCTAATTGCATATTTTGATTTACTGTAGTTTTGTCTTTATCAATTCAGTATATTAGAGGCAGAACAATACAGAGAGATAAGCATTGGCTATGGAACCAGACCCTGGATAAATAACCTGTTCTTTCTGTGTCTCAGTTTCCCCATCTGAAGGTTAAGGATAATAATGATGGCTGTCTCATAAAGTCTTTTAGTAGGGGAAAACCTTTAGCTGTTTCGATTCTTTAATGGAACCCTGTGAGCCGCTCTTGATGGCTCCCCCAGGGAGCATCTCTCTTTACCTGAATTGAAATTGGATGGGGCCTTGGCAAGGAGCGAGCAGGAGACAGTTTGCTAACTCCTTTTATAGGATGATAGCTTCTGATGGTTGCCAAGTATATGTGCATTGTTTTTGAGAGAAAGTATGGGTAGAGGTATATATTTTTTCAAACTAATTTTGTCCTAAAATATTGATACCTGGGTCAAATTTGATTTCACAAATTTATAGTTTGGTTGTAGTTTCCAATAGCTTTTTTCCACATATAAGGTATTTTAATTATGAAGTATGAATATACTCTAATACATTTAAAAATCTAAACAGCCTGGATTTATATCTGAAGAAATAGAAAATGTAAAATTGACAAAATAACAAATGAAAAATTTGAATAGACTAATAACTGTCAAAGTTGGAATACTAATTAAAAATGAAACCCTCTCACTCTCGAAAGGCTACAGACCCAGATGTTGCACAGGTGAACTGACCAACCTTCCAGTCCTTCTAGTTCATCCATAAATATTTCATGTGTATTGCTAAGAGATGAGGCTACTTTTTATTCCCAACCCATATTTTACTCCAAGTAGAATAGGGGTTAACGTTGAGTTTTATTGAATTAAATGATGGGTTTTAGGAGTTTATAAGTTTCTGAAGTGATTTTTTTAAAGTTGCATTAAAATCAGCAAAATAGCAAAGTATCCAAAATTTTCCTTTTTTTTCCCTTGCAAGTTGAATTTGCTTAATAAAGATTATTGGAGCTTAATAAAGATTATTGGATAGTGAAGTTTAATTCTAAAACATCTCTTTGCAGAGAAGGTAAGGACTAGAAAATAGAGTAACTTGAAGAATAAATTCGTGTAGCTTGAGTTTTGTGCACTTGACACACCAAACATCTCGACTGCTTGACTTGTTTTATTGAGTATTAGTAGCCAACCAGAGATCAGGCATATGTGCATCGTGATAGCTATGACAGTGCTGTTCATGTTTAATTACAACTTTCAGACTATGAACATGAAAATACTATTCATTAAGTCATGGGAATGGCTTTGTTTTAGTAGGGTCTCTCTAGTGGTGAAAAGTACCACTTTGAGATATGTTTACTTTTGAAGCCATTCCTCCAACCACATAACGTTTATTAAATGTCTACCATATGGCTGGTATTGTAGTACTCATTAGGAGATGCAATGATAAATGAAATATTGGGCTTGCCTTCCACCAAGTCTCAGATAAATATAAGTGAACAGTTAATTATTACGATGTAGTGAGTGTGTTGAGAGGGGCGAGTTCAGAGTGCTGTGGAAGGGTTATTTATCCTGGGACAGGCTATGGAGCCCTCTAGAGAGGCTTCTCAGAGAAAGTGGTGTCTTAGCTGATCCCTGAAGGATAAGTAGGATTCAGCCAGTCTTTAGAGGTGAAAGAAATCATGGCCACCCAGGTAGGGGTAGTAGTAAGAGCTTAGGGCTAGAGAGGTAAATAGCAGCCAGACCTGAAAGTCTTCATGTCTCAGTTGTTAAAAAGTTTGGGGTTTGTCTTAGAGGCACCGGGGGACTATTTTTTTAAATGCAGGAGGTTGATGTCTGATCAGATACACATTCTAAGGCATTATGAGTTGAGAATAGAGAGTGAATTTGGGAGAGGACAAGGTTAGAGGCAGAAAAACCATTTAAGAATAGGATTTATAATCCAAGTAAGAAATGATGTGGCCTAAAGAAAGGTAGAACCTGTCAAGCTGGAGAGAAGGGACAAATCTGAGTGACATTTAGAAAGTAATAATGGTGCTTCCTGTCTGGCAAGCACTCTACTCAGTTTTTGTATATATTATTAGCATTTAATCCTCATCTTTGAGGTGGGGATTGTTATTATCCCCATTTCACAGAAGAGGAAATTAACGCCCAGAGAGGTCAGGTATCTTGTTCAAAGTCATGTGAGACAAAGTTGGGATTCTATTGCAGGCATTTTGACTTCAGAGACTGAGTTTTTAGGCTCTGTGTTAGCTGATGGTTGAGAGATGGGAATGATAGAGAAATAGGAGTAAAGGATAATGCCAGTTCTAGCCTTTAAAACATGATTTTAGGGGCCAGCCTGGTGGTGTGGCAGTTAAGTGCACGCACTCTGCACTGCTCATCAAGCCATGCTGTGGCGGCGTTCCATATAAAGTAGAGGAAGATGGGCATGAATGTTAGCCTAGGGCCGAGCTTCCTCAGCAAAAAAAGAGGAGGATTGGCATTGGATATTAGTTAGCTCAGGGCTAATCTTCCTCACACAAAAAAACAAACCCAACATGATTCTAAAAATATATTTACCCACCTTCCACCATATACAAAAGTAACTCAAAATAGATCAGAGACCTAAATGTAAGAGCAAAAACTAAAAGCTCTTAGATGAAAACATAGGCATAAATGTGATGTTGGATTAGGCAGTGGTTGGCTAGATGTGACACCAAAAGCACAAGCAACAAAAGAAAAAGTAGATAAATTGGACTATATCAAAATTAAAAACTTTTGTCCTTCAAAGGACACCATCAAAAAAGTGAAAAAACAACCCACAAAATAGGAGAAAATATTTACAAATCATATATCTGATAAAGCACTTGTACTTAGAATATATAAAGAACTCTTGCAACTCAATAATAGAAAGACAACCCAATTTAAAAACGAGCAAAGGATCTAAATAGAGAGTTCTCCAAGGAAGAAATACAAATAGCCAATAAGCACGTGAAAAAAGAGGCTCCGTGTCGCTTGTAGACAGGGAAATGCAATTAAAAATTCCAGTGAGATGCTACTTTGTACCCACTGGGATGGCTAAAATTATAAAAGATATAAGTGTTACTGAGGATGTGGAGAAATTGGAAACCTTATATATTGGTGATAGGAATGTAAAATGGTATAGCCACTCTGGAAAACAGTCTAGCAGTTCCTCAAAAGGCTAAACACAGAGTTACCATATGATCCAGCACTTCCTCTCTAAGGTATGTACCCAAGAGAATTGAAAACATATTCGCATAAACACAAATGTTCATAGCAGCATGGTTCACAATAGCCAAAATTTGGAAACAGCCCAAATGTCTGATGAACCGATCAGACGATGAATGGATAAATAAAATTGGTATATCCGTACAATGGAATATTATTAAGGAATAAAAGGAATGGAGTACTGATACATGCTGCAACATGGGCAAACCTTGAAAACATTATGCTAATTGAAAGAAGCCAGGCACAAAAAAAGGACACGTATTATATGATTCCACTTATATAAAATGTGCAGAATAGGTACACCCATAGACAGATTGGTAGATTGGTGGTTGCCTAGAGTTGGGAAAGCTGGGAGGAAGTGGGGAGTGACTGTTAATGGGTGAGGGATTTTTTGTGTGTGTGTGATTCTAAAATGGGGTGATGGTTGCACAGTTCTGTTCTATAACCATTAAAAAAGCAAAAGTTCTACACTTTAAATGGGTGAATTGTGTGGTATGTGAATTATTTTTCAATAAGCTGTTATAAAAAATATCTACCAACATAAAAAACAAATACGTAAAATACAAATATAAATGTATGGAAATAATGAATTAGATTAGATGGTAAAAAAGAACCCGGAAGTAACCTGGGAGGTCATGACAGTGTAGGGGACGAGCACAGGTGCTCTGAGGTCGGACCATTCAGCTGCAGGTCTGGTCCTGCCGGCTGCTAGCTGTAGGAAGTTCCTCAGGCACTCTGCATTGTGATGTTACCTGGTTGTTGTGTTGTCCCGAGGGTTAAATGGGACAGAATGTTACAAGACACTGGATGCAATTCTTGGCACATAATAATTGCTCAGTAAATTTTAGGCTGTTTGAGGTAGCAGCTTAATACAAAAGAAGTAAACCAGTTGTGTTTTCCAGCAGGCTTCTCTACCAGTTCCATGTTCAACTTATTTTTTAAAGCTTTTATTATTATAAAAGTGTTTAACATGCTTATTACAGAAATTTTAGAAACCAAAAAAACATCAAGTAGGAAAATTATATCTCAATAAAGGTGTTTTTTTCCCCAAGTCAAATAGAAAAACATCATCCAGAGTTTCACCCTCTAAAGAGCTATTTCTAACATTTTTTCTTCTAAGTGTTTTTTTCCCTTTGCATTTCTTGTTGAGATCATACCATATGTTAGACTTTATTATAATGTTTTTTTGTATTTAACATGGAAAAATGTTTGTTATTACAAGTGCTTCAGAACATTTTTAATGTTTCAGATTCTGTAGAGTGTTTCCCTAATTTTGGCCATTTTGTTGGGTCTGATTTCTGTGTGCTGAAAGCTGCTTCTGTATTTATACTTTCCTAGGGATAGGTTTTCCTTTATTTGGTTGAGAAGTTTGAAAATTTTGGGGACTCTGATTTTTTTCCTTGATAGGACTTCCAAGTTATTACAGTTTTTTGTTTGGGCTTCATGGTATGTGGAAGATTATTTTTACTGGGAAATTCCTTTAGTGTCCCTGAACAGTCAGACACAGTGCTGCTCTTCTGATAGTGGAGAAGTCTACAACCACTAGTTCACAAAAGCTCTTCTTCTTGGGCTTACAATGGATTTGTTACAGTTAGAAAAGAACTCTCACATACTTTTTTGAGTGGTTCTTTCCCTGGAAATTCAGGGGGGAACTATCTGTTATGAAGAATAAATGCTGCCAAGTTTCTTAGAAGAGAGACTCTTTCACGTGTCAGTGGTTTCCAAAGTGGACAAAGCCCTCAGATGCTTAAAATGTCATATTTTTAAGGATTATTTCAAGAATATATTCTCATTAGAAAATATAGCCACACATTTCAGAATTGTTTGAATTCAGAATTATATAGCTTACTCTTGAGATTTTGGGAGAATAGTCTGTCTTTCTGTGTGGAATATAAATGTGTGTGTGTTGTGTACGTACATGTTGACTTTTGGTCAGATAAACTTGAAGAAATAAAGGAAGAATGAATGTTCTTTAACTTTGCTTTTGTGAAGTATCTGGGATAGATGAGGCTTTGTTCCAATAGATAGAACAGAAAATATTGAGACGTTAGTTTTTGGGTTTTTTTTACCTGAACATAGTATTTATGTTTTTGTTTGAAGAAAGAGCGAACCAAAAAAAAAAGGATAAGTAACCCATTGAAGACATGTGGGTCAAGTTTTAGTCCCTTAATTTTCTATTTGTGAATTTACAAAATAATTCTCCCATTCACCTCCTAAAAATCTGATCGTTTTTACCTTACAGGCCACTCTACATTATTTGGAATTAGTTTAACCGACACTAGGTTATATCACATTTAAATTTTGATAAATATGGAGTGTCAGCGAGTTCAAGTGTTCTTTTCCAACCAGTACTGATTGACAGGGCCCACTGTGCTTTAGCCGCCAGCCAGGGCAGATGTAGAGTTGTTACCATGGATGAAGCGGACAGAGGCTGACCAGGAAAGTGTTGAGCGACAACGACTGAGACCAAGAGAATGATTCATTGATGTGGCAAAGATTTTCCTCAAAAAACAACTTTGGAAATGGAATATTAGTGCCCGAAAGATCTACACTGTAGGGAATGGCTCAAAGATGTGGATTTGAAAACATTTTCTCTATAAAACACCTAGATAATATCCAAACTTAAGATTTTTCACATTCCTTTGATAGTCGATACTGAGACTAGAAAAGGGAATAAATAATATGAGAAGCTTAAGGGTATGGAGATAAGATTGGGGAACAGAGGGATTAAAGAGGGGGGGAAAACTAGGATTAAAGAGGAGGGGAAATTAGAAGACACCATATGTAGAAGAAAATAAATGATACTTGAAAAAAATTGTGAAAAGAGGGCCTGCTTGGTGATGTAGTGGTAAGTTTGTGTGGTTCACTTCGGCGGCCCAGGTTTCTCAGGTTCAGTTCCCGGGCGTGGACTTACATACCGCTCATCAAGCCACGCTGTGGTGGCATCCCATATACAAAATAGAGGAACATCGGCGCAGATGTTAACTCAGGACTAATCTTCCTCAGCCAAAAAAAAAAAAGAAAAGAAAATTGTCAACGGATGTTAGCTCATGGCCAATCTCCTTCACCAAAAAAAAATTGTGAAAAGACAAGCAAGGATTATTTTAAGAATAAAATACATAGTAGGGAAAACACACAGAACTTGTAGCTCCTGTTTGTTGTGTACCCATCATTGTGGGCTGGCACCGTGCCACACTCCTCTCATTCCATCCTCAGAGCTGCTCTCTGGGATGGGGGTTGAGTTCCCATCTCACATGGGGGGAAAGTGAGCACTGAGAAAGTGCCGCCTTGGCACTCCAGATTGAAGCTTTGGCTTTTTTCTCACAGGTTTCTTTTGTGTTGTGTTCTTTTGTGCAAGTTGTGTTTTGCTTGTTTTTTAAAATTTTTAATTATAAAGGTGAGCAGGAATAAAAGAGGGGGAATACAGCTTTAACACTAAGTAGCTCTATATCAGACGACAAGGTTATCCATTGAATGAAAACTATGATAACTGATTAAAGGCCTGTTACCTTTGTCTCCTTGCCCACCGTCCCTTAAAAGAGAGGTTTTTCAAAGAAACCTCCCTAAGTGAAGGATGAGTTCATCTCATTTCTTTACCAGACAGCAGGGCAATACATGAGACGGTCTTCTGGCATACTGTTGCTGTTAACTTGGGCAGATACCTCTGCAATTCTAGTTTCGTATTTTATTTTGAGTATCTTGTCAGGAAACCAAGTAACATCCTGTAATTATATAATCAGTTATTTCTTTTCAAAAATAATACTGTGCCAGTGGGAAAAAAATTATTTAAAAAAATTAGAGGCTTTGGAAAAAGGAGAAAACGCATTATATCATTTTCTTTCCTGAGCAAAACACATTAAAACCATTACAGTGAAAGTGTAAATAATTAAATTTCACAGGGAAGTTATTCTCATATCTACAGTCTTGCTGCTATATATGGACATTGGAAGTGATTTTGCTTTTCCAACCAGAATATTTTTTTTTTTTGATAAATCGCTTTTATTGTTCTTTCTTTCCTGGAATATAGATAGTTGTGGCACTAGAAGACTTCACAGTTATGTTCTGAAATCTGAACTCTGTTACAGTCATAAAAGAATTTCTGAGATTGACATTCTTTTCCTATTTTCCTTTGTCCCTAATCCCTTTACAGTACCTCATAGATATGAATAAACTTCTGAAATTCTAACCTGGTTGTCTGGGTTTTTGACTTTAAATTATATTTCATGTATACCAGGGAGCAGGTTTGGTTACTCACACTTTTTCTGAGGCCTACAAACTTTTGATTTATTTTAAAGTTCCTCGTGTCCAGTGGAAGTGTACTTGAATTTAGAGAATTGAAAGGTAACAGTAAACCTCTCTTCTCCCCACTGCACCACTTCTTCTTGAGGCTCCTGTTCCAAAGAGTGCTCTCATTCCAGTAATCCCCATCACCAAGTCAACAGGCTCCCGGTTCCGGAATAGTGTGGAAGGACTGAATCAGGAGATTGAAATAATTATTAAAGAGACCGGGGAAAAGGAGGAACAACTTATAGTAAGTAATCCGGTATCTTAAAATCATCCTTACACATTTACTGTTCTAATTATTAAAAGATCTATAATTTTTTTTTCCATATTTAGTTAGGTTTCTTCCTTCTTGTTGAGAGAGAATGAAAGTTTATCTCTTTTGAAAAACTTTGACCTTGGGAAGTGAATGAGAAGTTTTCATTTCTTATATCTCACAGAGACAACTGATGTAACTTAAATTTGGATCCTTGAATAGAAACTACTTTTTGTTGATCTGCATTTAAAAATCACTAGACAGGTGATATACTTTTCATTTGCTGTGACTCCATTTAGCAAAAATTTAGCTAATTTGTTGGGGAGGGAAGGCTATGACATCGCATACTTGCTAAGCATGAATCTACCTGTTCCTTATTGTTTGTCAGTTACTGTTTGGTTGACTGTATCATGAAGTGCAATTCTGCTTACCTATAAAACTCATAAGAGTGTGTATTGTACTAACTGTAACACACATAAGAATGATTCATATGTAAGACATGGTGAGAAAATTTCCTGTTTATATTTAAAACCATGTCACAGTGTATAGGTAAGCTTTCATTCTTCAGTGAAAGAGGAATTAGGGAGTTTGAAGTAGTATTTTATTGGTGCTTAAGAGCCTCTCCCTTAAGATTAAAGGTTGGTTTAGCTTAGAGAAAACACTACTTCCCACACCCTCCTTCTCCATACTGCATGATGGGGAACCTTTCCCTGACGTAATAAAGGTGAATGAACCACAGGTGTGCAGGGAGCCGGTTTCCTTGCTAAGTGAGCCACACAAGCTTTCCTCTGTATCTTCTCCTTGATTTCCTCCTATAATTAGCACTGCTGGGATTAACCTTTCCGTCATTTAGGAAGGTTACTTTGAACAAAACTCTTTCTGGGGAAAGTGGGCAGGGGTAGAAGGTAACAGGACTGGTCATCAGGTATCAGTAGTTCACACAGTGGATGACCTTTTCTAGTATGGAGCCTAGCGTTAGCCTCGATTTCTCCTCTTCGCCATGGCCCTTCTTTATAACCTTAAAAATAATATTGAGCACGTAAGTAACTCAATGCAAGTCATCATTCAGCAAGCGTTGGCCACCTGTCTGTCGTGTACCAGACCTTGGGAATACAGAGTCACTGCCCGTGCTGCCCAGTGTCTGGTGGGGGAGTCAGGTTAGACTAGGGTGTCACTAACGGAGCAACACAAAGGCTTCTTTCTCGTAAGGCCTGATAAGTAGGGGATTTCTGATTTGTGAGTCTTCTGGAACAGCAGGGGAAGGTTGATTCTGGGTGCAGTGGACATTGGGTGCATTGCTGGGTGAATTTCAAAATCAGTAATAGATACACATTTTAAAAATTTTATAACAGCCACAAGATATTCCCGATGGCCATCGTGCACCTCCTCCCCTTGTGCAGAGAAGCAGCAGCACACGCAGCATCGACACACAGACCCCCGGCGGGGCAGACAGGGGAAGCAACAACAGCAGCCGCTGTCAGTCTGTGTCCCCCACGTCATTCCTCACCATCTCCACCGAGGGCAGCGAGGAGAGCCCCTGTTCAGCCGATGACCTGCTCGTGGACCCCAGGGATAAAGGTATGGTGCGGGAGGAACTTGTGAACACATGGTGAGGGAATAACACCTATTTCATCATTCATTCTAGTCATTTTCTAGCAGAACACACATGCTTAAGGCTACTAAGAGAATTACTTTGAGATGTGTTTGAAACATAAGATTTTAAAAACTTGGGGTATAAACAGTGGGTTTTACTGTGGTGCTCAGGGGATGGTCAAGTTGGGTGGGTTTTTGTTTGTACTTTTTTCTTTTTTTTGCACTTGTAAATACAAGTTCCTTATTAGGGAGAAACATTCTTTTTGGTATAAATGAGATGAACATTGTCCTGAAAAGCACTTTGTTCTCTGTCACCTTAGTTGTCATGTTTTTACTACCTATTTTTCAATTGAATGTGAAACCTTCAAATTACTGTTTTTTAGAATCTGTATTTGTGGCATTTCTAACGAGAATTAAGCTAATTTATATCATTGCAAAATTGAGTATTCAAGGCAAGCCTGGAGTAGAAGGTTAGAGGGTTACTTAATAGTATTAAACTACTTATGAAACTTAAAAAATAACTTGGAGACATAAGCAGTTTGAATATTAGTTACTAATATTCTTAGCTTTAAAATAAATATGACCTTTTGTCTGTCTATGTCAGGGCAATATTTTGTTAGTCCAATCCTAGTTATTTCATGTACTTGAGAGCAAGAATAAAATATTTATTTGTAAATTCTGTAGCTCAGTGTAGGAGTCATTTATTTAGAACCTCCCACTCACAGTATGTTGAATGTTCCAAAATGTTCCATTGTTACAGCTGGCCATTATTACCAACCACCTGAATTATTGAGACTATAGCAAGTGCAGAGAACATAAGATTTTCTGAAGAAGTCACTTCAAGCTGTGGGCAGTTGTAAAATGTTATTATTTGGACCCTATTTTGCCAGCTTCTAGGTTAAATAAAACATGGCTATTCCAGGGGGCCGACCTGGCGACGTAGCGGTTAAGTGCGCGAGCTCCGCTGCAGTGGCAGCCCCGGGGTTCGCCAGTTTGAATCCCGGGCGCACACTGACGAACTGCTTGTCAAGCCATGCTGTAGTGGCGTCCCATACAAAGTAGAGGAAGATGGGCATGGGTGTTAGCCCAGGGCCAATCTTGCTCAGCAAAAAGAGGAGGATTGGCAACAGATGTCAGCTCAGGGCTAATCTTCCTCACAAAAAATAAAAATAAAAAGAATAAAAGAATTAAAAAAAAATTGGCTGTTCCAGGCCAACACCCCAAACGCGTTAAATCACAACCCCTGGGGCTGGGACACAGGCGCCAGGAGTTTTTGATCTCCCAGTTAATTCCATTGTGCACTCAAGTTTGACCCCCAATGAATTAAATTCTATATGATTGGGCCTTGTGTTTCTTGTCAGGAGTCTGCATAATTCCCTACTTCTTATACTTACTGTGAGGATTAAAAGGGATAGTGAATGCAGACCATTTAGCAAGCACCTGGTCCTTAGTGCTCCATCAAATGTACCCCCACTGAGAATTTAAAAGCTATTAAAATCTGCACCTTGATTTCCTGTACTTTCTAATTTTACTTTAATAACATGGAGGAATTCCATAAATTTTGTGTCCTACTGTATTTGACTTTAGGAGACTAGTGACTGGTTAGCTTCTCTGAATTTCTTTTATAAGAAAACAAGTGCCATAGTGCTGTAGCCAACAAGGAACTTAGTGCTTAGCTGACACAGTCAGACTGAAAATTTAGAACACTTATGTAACATGTCAAGAATTTTAAGTTAGTATAGTATAAACTGAGGGCATCAGCGCTGAACAGTAATACCAGAGTAAAGAATGTTCCTTTTGATAGGGTTAATTCGGAAAGATTTCAGAAACTCTGAGCCAGACTTTTTTTTTTTTTTGTGGGGAAGATCGGCCCTGAGCTAACATCTGCCAATCCTCCTCTTTTTTTGCTGAGGAAGACTGGCCCTGGACTAACATCCATGCCCATCTTCCTCTACTTTATATGGGACGCTGCCACAGCATGGCTTGACAAGCGGGGCATTGGTGCTCGCCCAGGATCCGAACCTGCGAACCCCAGGCCGCTGCAGTGGAGCGCGCGCACCTAACCGCTTATGCCACCGGGCCGGCCCCCATGAGCCAGACTTTGAAGGAAGTTTCGGAAAATGAACAGAGAAGGACCTCTTAGGCATGGAGAAGTTCATGGGCAAAAGGAAGCCTTGGGCATACAGTGCACATATGGATGGCTCTGACTACCTGGAGCAGAGATTGTAACAAGAGGAGCAGAGAAATCAAATTGAGACGTTCTGAAGGGCAGATGAAGAATGAATGATAAGCAGCCAATGAAGAACTATTTCAGTTACTTGTACTGGGAAGAATGGAAGTGGCATTTGAGTCTAACTGCTGTGTATAGAATAGAAATATAGTTACGTGCCACATAACGATGTTTTGGTCAATGACATCGCATATTTGATGGTGGTCCCATCAAGGTCCCATGGAGGTCGTAGTGCAACACGTTACTCACGTGTTTATGGTGATGCTGGTATAAACAAACCTGCACTTGTAGTCATATAGAAGTATAGCACATACAGTTAGGTACAGTACATAATAATTGGTAGTGATAATAAAGAACTATGTTACTGGTTTGCTATACTTTTTATTATTATTTTAGAGTGTACTCTTTCTCCTTATTTAAAAAAAAGTTTACTGTGAAACAGTATGCTGTATTACTCTGCAGCAGCCTCATCTTGTGTTTCTTGTGTCTCTTAATTGCATCATTTTTCTCTTGTGCTTGATTTAATCTTGTGTTGTTTTGTTCATCATGGCCCCAAAGTGTAAAAATCCTCTGGTGATCTTGCCAGTAAGAGGCCACATTGAGTGGTTGAACTGGAAATGAAATTAAAAGTGATTAAGGACTATGAAGGTGGAAAATCAGTGATGGTTATTGCTTGCCATTCAGGCATGTCCCATTCCACCATGGCTATGATCTTGAAGAAGAAGAACAAAATGACAGAAGCTGTTAAAGGATCTTCTTCATTGAAGGCAACAGGACTAAGAAAGATTCGAGAAGGGCCTATATCAGACATGGAGAAACTTCTAATGACCTGGATTGAAGACCAGACACAGAAGCATATCTCTCTCAGCACCAGGACAGTCATGGCCACAGCAAAAAGTTTTTTGTGATGTTGAAAGAAAAGGCTTGACCCAGCTATGATGTTGAATTTATTGTTAGCTCTGGGTGGTTTAAGTGATTTAGGAATCGTTATTCATTACATAATGTGAAAGTGAATGGTGAGTTCTGTGAGTGCTAACATGAAGGCAGCTGAAGAATTTTTGGAAACTCTAGATAAGCTGGTTGTAGAGGAACATTACTTGCCAGAGAATATTCAATATGAGTGAAACCTCCCTACCCTGGAAACGGAAGCCTGAAAGGACTTTCTTCCATAAGGAGGCCATGTCAATGCCAAGTTTCAAGGCCTTTAAGGACAGGATAACAGTCTTGCTTGGGGGCAATGTTGCAGGCTGCAAATAGAAACCCTTTGTGATCTGGCACAGTGAGAACCCCAGGGCCTTCAAGCATATCAGTAAGCACAGACTGCCAGTGTCTACAGGAGCAACAAGAAGTCATGGATGAGGGACCGGACCTGTCGTGTAGTGGTTAAGTTCTGCACACTCCACTTAGGCAGCCCAGGTTCGGTTCCCGGGCACGGACCTACACCACTCGTCAGCAGCCATGCTGTGGCGGTGACCCACATACAAAATAGACAAAGATTGGCACAGATGTTAGGGCGAATCTTCCTCAGCAAAAAGTAAATAAATAAATAAATACCATTGGAGATTAAAAAAAAAAAAAAAAGTCATGGATGACCCACCTCCTCTTCCAAGATGTTCTCCTGAATTGCTGTGTCAGCAAAATGGAGAAGTATTGTTTGGAGAATAACATACCTTTCAAGATTGTGCTTATTGTTGATAATATTCCTGGACATCCTGCTTTTATTGATCTTCATCCCAATATCAAAGCAGTGTTTATCCCTCCAGACACCACTTCTTTGATCCAACCAATGGATCAGGGAGACAGTAGGCCCTAAAAGCTGCTACCTGGGGGGGTTCTTTGCCCAGGCTATTGCTGCAACTAAGGAAGACACTGAGAAGACACTGATGCAATTCTGGAAGGGTTACAATATCCATGACTGCATCAAGAAGCTTGCTTGGGTTGATGTCACCAAGGAGTGTATGAATGGCATCTGGAAGAAGACACTTGAGAGTTTTGCCTGTGATTTAAAAGGATTTGCCCAGGATGAGGAGGTTGCAAAAATCAACAAGGCTGTGGTTGAGATGGCAAACAGCTTTAACCTGGGTGTGGATAGGATGACAGTGAGGAGCTCTAGGTGGTTCCTGAGGAACTGACTGATGAGGATTTGTTGGAACTGGAACAGGAACACATAGCTGAAGAAGAGGCAGGAGACAAGGAACCTGCAGGAGAAGAAAAAGAAGAACCCACAAGAAAATTTATGGTGAAGGGTTTAGCAGAAGCTTTTGCAGACCTTAACAACCTCCTTAAAAAGTTTGAAAGCATGGATCCCAACACTGAAAGGTTTTCATTAATAGAGAGGAATGTTCATGGTGCATTATCTGCTTACAAGCAAATCTGTGATGAAAAAAAAACAAACCAAGCAAACCACCATGGATGTATTTCTGAAAAGAGTGACACCTCCTCAAGAAGAGCCTTAGGCAGGTCCGTCAGGAGGTATTCCAGAAGAAGACATGGTTATCATAAGAGATGACAGCTCCACACAGGTTATTGCTCCTGAAGCCCATCCAGTGGGACAAGATGTGGAGGCGGAAGACAGTGATGTTGATGATCCTAACCCTGTGGGGTCTGGGTGAAAGTGTGTGTGTGTGTCTTAGTTTTCAACAAAAAAGTTTAAAAAGTAAAAAAAATTTTAATTTTAAAAATAGAAAAAATCGTATAGACTAAGGATATAAAGAAAAAATATTTTTGTGCAGCTGTGCAATGTGTTTGTGTTTTAAGCTAAGTGTTTAATATTATAAAAGAGTCAAAAAGTTTTAAGAAATTAAAAAGTTTATAAAGTAAAATTCTTAGCTTATTATTAAAGAAAAAAATATTTTTTATAAATTCAGTGTAGCCTAAGTGTACAGAGTTTATAAAGTGTACAGTGGTGTACAGTAATGTCCCAGGCCTCCACATTCACTCACCACTCCCTCACTGACTCACCCAGAGCAGCGTCCACTCCTGCAAGCTCCGTTGATGTAAGTGCCCAATACAGGTGTACTGTTTTTTATCTTTTATACTGTATTTTTACTGTACCTTTTCTGTGTTTAGATATGGTTAGATACAGAAATACTTACCATTTTGTTACAGTTGCCTACAGTATTCAGTAATGTGCTGTACAGATTTGTAGCCTGGGAGCAATAGACTATACCACATAGCCTAGGTGTGTTGTAGGCTGTACCATCTAGGTTTGTGTAAGTGCACTCTGTCACATTTGCATGATGACGAACTCGCCCAACGATGCCTTTCTCAGAACATATTCCCCATCGTTGAGTGACAGGTGACTGTAAGGCAGCGAGATAGATCGGTGTTCAGTACTGAGGATAAAGTGATACAGGCCTAGGCTGTGGTGATTGTAAGTGGAAAAGGAAAATCTTTTCGTTTTGCATTTATTTAACAAACATTATGTCTTCTTTACCAGGAATTGTGTTAGATATTAGGGTGATGTTGGTGGATAAAACACTTTCTACCCTCAAGTAGTTGGGGCGGGGAGGCCAAGGACGGTTAAATGCAGTGTGACTGTGCGTTTATGTAGTAGTACTTGTAGTGATCCAGTGTGTCGTTTATTGCAGAGAATGGAAACAACTCTCCTTTGCCCAAATATGCAACCTCACCAAAACCTAACAACAGTTATATGTTCAAAAGGGAACCTCCCGAGGGCTGTGAAAGGGTCAAAGTCTTTGAGGAAAGCTCGTAAGTATCCCCCCTAAAAAACCTTTTATTATGATAATTTTCAGATGAGTTGAAGAACAGTACAGTGACCACCCACATATCCACTACCTGGATCCTGTGTTAACGTTTCGCTGTATTTGCTTTGTCTGTGTGTGTGGTGGTCGTTTTTGCTGAACTGTTTGAAAGTAGGTTACAGACATCATGACACTTAACCTTACATGTAATTTGATATTCGTTTCCTAAATTAACCACAGTACTCCTATATAACCAGAATACCATTATCACACCGAAGAAGACTAACAGTAATGCTTAATATCAGCTAATGTCCAGTCGTCATTCCCATTTCCCCGGTGGTCCCCAGCGGAGGATCTGTGGCTGTGGTTGTTGAACCTGTGTGCAGTTCACATCACACACTGAATTTAGCAGTATATTTATTCAAGATAGACCACGGATCTTACCCAGTGTGGTTTCTTTCCTTCTAGGATCGAATTCCCTTCAGTTTTTATCTACTTTTGGTCTCCAGTTCTTTAAACAGTTTTTTAAAGATTTTATTTATTTTATTTTTTTCCCCCCAAAGCCCCAGTAGATAGTTGTATGTCATAGCTGCACATCCTTCTAGTTGCTGTATGCGGGACTCGGCCTCAGGATGGACGGAGAAGTGGTGCCTCGATGTGCACCCGGGATCCGAACCCGGGCCACCAGCATCGCAGCGCGCGCACTTAACCACCAAGCCACAGGGCCAGCCCCTAAACAGTTTTTTAAAATTTTGTCTGACAGTGTAGGAAACAGAATTCTATTACTTTGCAGAATCATGTTACTGTGGTGAAGATAATATAAGAAGCAGAATTTTAAACAGTGTCTGGTACCTTTGGTATCCGAGCTCCTGTGCTCATATGCTTCTGTTGGCTGGTTCTCTTGTCAAGTACTCCAATTGTAGACTCAAAATTTGCCCAGGAAGTATTGCAGCCTTGTGTTTTCGGTGGCTCTGGCTCCTTGCTTTGTAAGTGATGGCTGCCGGGTTGTGTGATGTATGAGACTGAGCACATTAGGTGATGAACGTTGTTTGGGGATATGATGATAGTTCTTAGCCCTCACCTTCCACTCTCACTATGGCTTTTTCTCACTATGAAACCTAAAATACAACGTGGAGATTGTCTCCAATTTTATCTCTTTCCTCCATTATGAACATCTTGGAATATCTTGAAATACGGCATCCTTTTGTTCCTCTGTGCGCACCTCCTGTCAGTGCTGCCTTTAACCTAAGTTCTGAATAATTTTGCCACATGAAGAGCCTTGTTTTTGAATCCCTTTAACTTCTCTGCTAGGAAATCCCAGCTGTCAGTCTCCTTGCTGCTTTTGTGACTTTGAAAACTCTATTTTAGCAACTGCTTGTTTTGGTTTTTTTCACCATGTCAATCTAAAAGCTTGACGGGTGCCAGCTGAGAGTATAAGCGGTATTTCTCCAGATCTGTTTCACGGACTCCCTGCATCATAATCATCTCAGGTATTAGTTGAAACTGCAGATTCCCAGGCCCTGTCCCAGGCCTAATGAGTAAATATGGAGGTAGGACCTGAATTATGCATCTTTAACAAATACCTCATAGGATTTTTATGCTCAATTTGAAAATACTGCCTTAGACATTTTCATGAGAGTTCTTAAGAAACAGAGTCATTCTATTAAGTAAAAATCAAATGGTTCAAATGGACCTTTTTGAAGCCGAGCTCTTTGATTTTACTCATTGGTAGTTAAGATTTACCTGAGTATAGAGAAATGGTCGATTGGCTCAAGAGCAATTTGAATTTGTTTTATAAATGATTTGAGTGAATATTCGTTGTGTAGGTCAGTGTCCTGTGGTATCTGCCTAAACCGTTGCATTTGGAAAATTTCTTAGGAGTCAGTATGAGGTTCTATATACTACATTATTTGTGTCTAAAGCGGGGAGGGAAGAAAGGACAGGGAGGAGAATAGAGATGTTAAAGAAACATAAAGTAAACCCTAACGTATTAAATGCTTTATGGCACATGCATCTGTTATGAGAAGGTAAACCTAGTCTTTTTAAAATGTGTATAGTTTATTATAAATTTTACTGATAGCATGTGTCACACACAAAAACCTGTTCATTTTCATTACGTCCCAAAAACAAATTAACAGCAGGAACCCGAGAGTGGGTTTCTTAGAGGTAATTTTAACCTTCTATCAATAAAACAAATTATTCAAAGTCTAAAAAAATTAGTCTCTTTTTGCCCTAGCTATGTCAGAATTAGAGCAAAACCCACTGGAGACACTAGCATTAAAGCAAAGGTAGATTATTGGTCCTAATTAAAAATTTTAGCTTATTTCATCATTCTTGAAAGAATACTTTTCTAAGTCTTACTTTTGGTTTAAAGGTAGTAACTCTGACCTGAACTGGGGGTTGGAGTGGGGTGTGGGTTGATCTCTGGCTTCTAGAAATGTAAGTCTTATTTACCTGAAAGAAAATATCTAGATAGTTAGATTTGGGCCCAGAAGGGGCAAGACCAGATTTTGCAGTTCTTTCTGTTTCCGTGTTCTTTTTGATACAGCACACACCACAGCCCTGCCATCTGCACTTAGTAAGTCCTTCCGAATGAAGTCCAGTGTGCCGTTTCCTGATCCCACTAGTGAACGCCTGACATTAGTGAGCTTAGATGCCCAGACACTATGGCCTCTGTGCAGTGTGGAGGCATCTTAAAATGTACATGACCCTCCCTCTGTCTTTCCCTCCTTCCCATTATAAGTAACTCGGACCCAGCATTTTCTTTGCTGGTAATTTATGCCTGAATTAAAAAGAAAAAATTAAGCAAGGCTTTGAAAAAGGATACCAAAGAATTCCTTGCATCAATATGAAAATATCTATAGTAATTATACAGCCCATCCATCCATCTCTTTAAAAAGTCAGCTATCAAACAGTTATATCTATTTTGAGACACAATCCTTTTGGGATAACTTTTTAAGGAAAAATAAAATTTTAAAACTAGTTCTGAGATTTCTTTTTTTTGTACTTACAGTTCTTAAGTTGAAAAATGCTTTGATGTGGTATTAGTACTTGCAGCTTCTGTTAGCATGAGTATAGGTCATACCCGCCAGGGGCGGGTAGTATGTTTCCTGGAAGTCTGCTCCCAGAAGTCAAATGTTGGAGGTCAGCAGTGATTCCTCCTGGTGGGTTGGGATAGTGACTGGAAAGAGGGGACGAGGGGAGGGTTTTTTTGGTGCTTTTTACTGTTAATGTTCTGTTTCTTGATCTGGATGCTAGTTAGACAAGTTACTGCTGTTTACACTATTTTGTCCAAGATCTGTCATAAGTCTGTTTTCATGAAAGCAGCAAGGAAGTTAAACTGTTTTTAGATTCTGTCATTGAAAAATGTCAGCCAGGAAGTTTATTCGTATTTCAGAAATGTGAGGTTTCATCCTCAAGATCCATTAGCAGCCACATATCTTGTCATTTTTAACAGGATATAACCTCAAACAAATAAATAAATTAATTAAAAACCTAAGCCTCATTTGGAGGAGGGTGTAAAAATTGATTAGCCTATTTTTCTAGTAAAAGAATGAAGGTTATCTCTAATAATTCTGCTTCAAAAGAAAATTCAAGCATTAACTAATTATAGAAACAACCTCAACTTTCTTCTTTAAGGAATTGAAAACTATAGTGAAAATAGAGTAGTAAAAATAGAGGGGTGTGTACTCTTCTTATCAGTAATATATTTAAATACACTTTTGGCCCTAAAAGTACTCAATGTATTAAGTTTCCATTGTATTCAAGAAAGGATAGTGCACAAGTAAAACATAATTTAAATGATTTGATTTCTTTGTTCTTCAATTATTCTATTTGTCAAAAGCTATCCATGGGTAGTATTCACTATTAATCAATAAAATCTGTCTACCCAAAGCATTTTCTCCTTGGAACAGTTTTTTTTTTTTTTTGCACCCACTCCCCAGGTCTGTTGTTTATTCATTTTTTAAAACCCAGCTTACATGTTACTTCCTTTGGAAGCCTTCTTCCTGCCAAACTCTCCCCCTTTCTCTGTGCCACAGGTCATCGGCTCCCTTGTGCTACCTGTAACCTTTTACACACCATTTTTATCACCTCTGTCAGACCCTCTTGTAGGAGTTTTTAACCTTTTTTGTGCTATGGACACCTTTGGCAGTCTGGTAAAGCTTATGGATGCTTTGAAGTAATCCATAAACTTCTCTGCATAATGTCTTTAAATGCATAATACACATAAGATTACAAAGGAGACTATTGAAATACAGTTCTGTTCCCAATACGTCCCTCCCCCCAAGAAGTACGTATTTAGTCTGTCTGCTTATAGACTGTTTCATCTCTGGGTTTCCAGAATCTAGTGCAGACTTGGCACACTTGGATTTTAATTTTTTTTATTTTATTAGGGGAGATAAGAACCATATTTGTATCATATGATCATATTACCTTTTTCCACCTGAATCTGATTAAGGTTCTCCCACCTTAATTTCTTTTTGATTTTGTGGCATTTCCATGTTACTATAACAATTTAATTTTTATATTTTTATTTTTTTAGAATACCATTAACACTGGTATCCTTTTCCAACTATTCGGGTTAGTTTTCAGGAGCACCTGGAGACAGGAAGGATTTGGCTTCTATAAAAACTTGCAGAAGGACTACTATTAGTTTTATTTTTATTTCATATTTCCATTATGTTACCCAGAAAACCATCATAGTTAACTCTAAGAATTATTTCAGTCAAGAGATTTTTAAGCATACTTTAAGACAAGTTTAGTCATGCTTTGGTCGTGTAACTTAGCAAAAGATGGGCATTTATGTCATTAATTTCCTTGCTTCTCCCTTCAAAATAGTACAGATGTTGGAAAAATCATGGTAGTGAAACGTATTTTTGTGTTTAAACATCTAGAATTTCTTTTGCTTTATTCTTTATTGGAATAAAGGAAATTCTTTGTTCTTATTGGCTATCTTAGATCTCCACTGAGATGCAGTGGTCGTCAGCCTGACCACCTGTATGGTACACGAGCTCGCCAGGGAACTGGAAGCAGCAGTGATGAATGGTGTCCTTCTGGCATTCTGAGATAATTATTTTGACCCATGTGTCTAATTCCATTTTGGTCCATAGCATTTGAAGCTTTTGACATAGCTTGAGTTTTGTATTCCTTTTATGTATCTATAAGTTATCTGTTTTTAAAAAAAGAATAAAAGAACTTAATTCTGTTGTTCTGTGACTTAAAAGTTTTGGGTTGTCTGTTCTATGTCTAGGCCAAAACAACTTCACGAAATCCCAGCCTTTTACTGTCCTGATAAAAACAAGGTGAATTTCATTCCTAAAAGTGGCTCTGCTTTCTGCCTGGTCAGCATCCTCAAGCCACTGCTCCCCACGCCAGATCTTACCCTCAAGGGCTCTGGCCACAGTCTGACAGTCACTACGGGCATGGCAACCACTCTGTTGCAGCCTATTGCTGTGGCCTCCCTGTCTGCAAACACAGAGCAAGACCGAATCTCTCGAGGAACGAGTACAGTCATGCCGTCGGCCTCGCTGCTCCCACCGCCAGAGCCGATTGAGGAAGCTGAAGGGTAGGTCCCGGGGCTGCGTGGCCATTGTTCTGGGCGACAGAGAACCTCGGATGCTCGGCTCCTGCATCGTGCACTCCCACTTGGCTGTGATGTCCTGCAGCTTCCACAGTGACACGTCACAGTAGGGCTTCTGGAGGAAAGCAGCCCCCTGCCGGCCCTGCTCACTCGTGAAGGCCAGCCCTCGGTGCTTTGTCTGCTTTTGCTCAGAGCACTGGTTGGAGCAGGAAAGGTCTCACTCTTTACTTTTGGAGGACCAATATCGCATTGTTTTTTGTTTTCAAATTAAACTTCTTTAAAACAAAAACAAAAAACTGATCCCTGCAAACATGATTCCTGAAGGGAGATGTGAATGATGCTGCAAGAACCATCTTTTATATGAAAGTGACTATTTTATAATAACCAATGTTACATTTTCTGAAACGTCGCAAACAGGATGTTTAAAAGATTCTTTGGTGGCCTCTGTTTCTTGTTTCCTTTCTAGATGTGTGCTTTTCTCAGCTGTCTTCAGCTTTGGGACCAAAGGGATTGTTGACATTTTCCCCGCAGTCTTAATCTCCTGACTATGTTCTTCTCCCAGACAAGAATTGAGAGGTAAACACATTGAACAAGTATATATAAAAAGAGATAAAAAGCAATATTAGTACATTATGTGATTTATGTTTTTTGATGTCAGAAGTTTGTGCTTTGGGTGAAATATTTGTAAAACTGCTGTTTTCTTCACTACTCCTGTACACATGTCACCATGTGGTCAGAAAAATTATAGTCTAGAGACAAGTGCTTTACTATGTTCTCACCCATTGTTGGAACTTGGTTTAAGTCAGTGAGCCCAAAGGAAACTGCCCTGTGTTGATTGCTAGCCAGGAGTCAGGAGCCTCTCTGGTTTTCCAAGAAATATTTATCACACAGTCTCCCTTCTTTACCACAGGTGTCCTTCTACCTTTAATCATCACTGTATCATAGTCCTAAGAGATCCTGAAATGACTGTGCATGGATTTCCTCCTTTGCTTTTGTGGTGTTCTTGTCTTGTGGTTTTGGTCAGGGTTAGTAGTTTGCCAGGAGCGTAATCCATTGACTAGTGATCCGTAGTCACAGAATCTTGTGACTGACATTTTCTTTATGGTGGTTGCACTGAGAAACGTTGCCTACAGATTTTGCTAGTTTTCCCTCCAACATTCCACACAGTGGGGGAAACAGGCAAGAACTTCGGAGCACATGTAACAGGAACCTTTGAAAAAAACCACGCAGTTTTGGATTTAGGCTCAACCTAATACAATCACTGCTGATATCACATGACAGCAGTGCTTCATGTCTGGGTATGGGGTAGTGAAAGTAAGAAGCAGCTCTTTTTAAAAATGAGTTTCAGTGGGCCGGCCCCGTGGCTTAGCGGTTAAGTGCTCGCCCTCCGCTGCTGGCGGCCCGGGTTTGGATCCCGGGCGAGCACCGACACACTGCTTCTCCGGCCATGTTGAGGCCGCGTCCCACATACAGCAACTAGAAGGATGTGCAACTATGACATACAACTATCTACTGGGGCTTTGGGGGAAAAATAAATAAATAAAATCTTTAAAAAATAAAAAAATAAAAAAAAATAAAAATGAGTTTCAGCAAACAATGTTGATAAAAAGCATCCTTCTAAGATCTTCATATACGACCTTATGATGCAATAATTTAATGTTTCTATACATATTATAGGGAGAAAAAATTTAAATACTTGTAAAAGGGATACAGTTTAGAAGGTTAATATGTCCGTTTGTCCAGACGTGTGCCATCAGAGAAAACCTAGTGGTAGCAATGCATCTTTTGAAAGGACTTGTTATACTCATGCACCTTGAAACATCTAAGGAATTAGAAATATGCCCTGTGAAGTTCAAAATGGAGATGTATTGAGGCAAATTAGACAAATTCAAACATTTGAATAAGCCTGTCAGGTTTCAGTTTGGTAGGACTGATGATTTTGGTACCTTTTCCGTCCAAAACTAATTTACTTGGAATTATTAGTACATTGTGGCTTCTAAATGAGTAAAAGCTCAGTTATTCAGGCTCTAAATTTTCTGGTTGGTTGGTTTTTTGAGAACCTTGATTCTTTGCCTTCTCTGTTACGCCTTTTGACTTTACCACCTCACCGCTGAGAACCACTCTCACAAGTCCTGAAGAAAAGGGAAAGCAGGCATCGGGGGAGTTGGTGTGAATGGCAGGAGGAGGACCTTAAAACCAAGTTTTAAAGAGACCCTCAACTTTGAGATCACCTGAGTTCTGTTAAATCTGTGTTCGTTTCCTTGCCTCATGCCTTCTTTCTTCACTCTCTATCTCTACAAGTCACGAGGGTATTTTACAACTAGAATGCTACTTCAAAAACAGTTTTTCCTTTGTTTGACATATTTGTCTGATTCACATCTTTCTGTAGAGTTTCATATATCCTTAATCTAAAGTAATTTAAAATCGGAATGGGAGAACAAGTTTAAGATTTATTATTTACATAGTCTTATAAGTGGAACTTCTAATGTTTGGTTGTCAGGAGAATGTGAATTTGCAGGTAAATGAATTGTATGGCAACCAAATATACCCCAGGTTTGGGAGAAAAAGAGCCTGAGATTTGAAGAGGAAAGAAAAAGGTACAAGGTACACACAACTCTGCCAGTGCCAAAGGGCTAATTTGTAAGCAGACAAGCTTTAAGGCAGTCTTGAAAGAATATTAACCGTAGGTCCGTTCAGCCCTTTTATTTAACCTTTAGTTCCCAGGTGGTTGATTTTTTTTCTTTTAAGTGGATCTACTCTCAATAGAATACATAATATTGTTTTCTAAAGTTACATTCCATAATGATTTTGTTATTCTGTAGAAAACTGTGTAGAAGGTAAATAAATTAGAATAGCTTCACTGGGAATATTCCATTGCAGTAAAAGAAAGAAAGAGGTGGCATGTATATTTCAGCAGAAGGAGCTATTCTCTGGTCATTCACTTTGTCAGTCTTAAGTTATTTTTTACCCTTAAACCATTTCTTCTTTGTGGTGATAAAAATATATAAATTTACGGTTCTGTTCATGACTATTTACTTGTCATGGCTTTTGTGAGCAAGTACGTTATAAAAATACCTGTTGCGCCTCTTTGATTTGATGGTGAACATGGATGCCGGAATTATTTTTGAACTAGATTCTTCATTTTGTTGAAAATATTTCCTATAACAAGCCAAGTCAGCCTTTTAGAAGGTGCTGTTGGTAGCTATGGAATAACAGGCAACAAGAAAGGCTTTTTTTTTCCTCCTCTTTTCTTTTTAATGGTTGACTTTTACTAGAAGAAGGTATAAAAAATGGCAGAATTTGTAGCCTTCTGTAAGTCCAAGATTAGGACTGGGTTGTCAAGATTTTCTTTTGTTAAAGGAAATAAAAGAAAAATTGCCACTATTGAATTGACTATTCTAAACTTAAGGTTCATTCCTTAATGCTTGGAATTTTGATGTCTCAAAACCAGACCAGTGCAAGTGCTGAATTTGCAGTTAAAAAGCTAAGAATAGGTAACTCCGCACTTTAAGGTTTAAGTTTTACTCTGCCTAAATTAATGATAAGCAGAGCAGCCCTGAACAATATTTTGTTTATACAGTCCTGTCGAAGAATATAATTTATGTTTTTTTAAGTCTGTATGGTTCATCTCTATTGAAGCTGTGTAAATCTTTTTAAAATGCAATTTTTTAAAATTTTGTTTTTCTAACAAAATTCTCATAAAAAACAGCATTTCCAGTGGTGATAAATATTGTTACTGTGTACTTATGTATTCCCTGTATCTGAACACTTGTTGCTGCCTCACAAGAAAATAGAACTTTTATGTTAAAAATAAAGTCTGTTCTCCTTGAGTTGTTTCCTGTGTACTTTTATGAATATTGCCTCAAATTCAAATTTGATTTCAGATACTTCTGGCCTGAAATAACTTATAAATCGTATATTCTTTTTCACAAATTGATGGAAAAATAAGTTTGTGTTAAGTAGCAGGATATATAATAGTGTCAGTTGTTAACTTCTTGCTGCCTCCTCACTTGCTCTAGAACTTCAAGTGGTAAGTGCTGAGCAAACATTAAAATAGAAGCAAGCACGCTGAAAGATATACCTCTTTATAAGTAATTCAGTACTGCACAGTTTGTTAGAGATTAGCTGGGGCAGTTTCATTCTAAAGTGCACTAGAGGGCTTTATTCTTTCGTTTTGGTAATTCATATTTGTGAAACCAGCCATGTTCTTCCTTTGTGACAGTAGGTTATAAATGCGAGACAGTTGTTCAAGTGGAGGGCCCACAACAGAACTAGTCAGCTGGGCACCACTGAAGACTGCATGCTGTGTAACCACTGAGGAAGCAGAGACACCTTTGAAGTGAAGTAAAAAAGCCACACAGCTGTCAGTCATAAAAAGTGGTCACCAATTACTTTGTAAAAAATTCTAAAATTTACTTCTGGGGGAAACGTTAACCAGAATTTGGGGATAGCTAATGTATATATATTTACATTATAGTTTAATACGGTATCAAATGCAAAGAGAATCTCTCAAATTTGGCACAAAATTTTCTCCCATTTTTTCTCTCAGTCTTTTCTGTCTACTTTTAAAGAGGTTGAGAGGAGAAAATGTAGATTTCAAGTTGGGTGTTCCTCTCTTCCTCCATTTATTTGATTTTTTTTTTTTTTGGCTTTGATTCATTAGTATTAAATATACCCCCAAGAAAGTTTTTAGGCCTGGAATGATCCTTGTCCTTCAAGTGCTTTTAAGTGGCTGGGTGTGAAATACAGTGTCCTCTTCACAGCAGATCCCTGCCAATGTAGATCAGTAACAGGTGGTTTCCTTCTAAGATTAGGTGTGCTTTTTAAATATCTTTGTTTTAAACTTCTACTAGAACATGGTATGATAATACAAATAGCCTTTGTATCTCTTTGGTTCAGTGTTTTTCAAACTGTTGGGATCTTGAAATGAATTAAATGGGTCCAGCCAACATTTTTTTTTAATGAAGCAGACCCGAAAACCTAAATATATTCATACATAAGGAGAGTATTACTTGTAAAACTTTTGCTAGACATGAAGATCCATACATACTAGGTTGTAAAGTAAAATGTATTTCTCACTGAGTT